CAGCACAGAGCAGCCTGGGGGCAGCTCCCAGGCAGGACTGACCCCAGAAACAAATGCTCTGTCCCGGCAGAGGGATCAGAGCAGAGATCCCCGAGATGCCAGAGCAGCTGCACACACACAGCACACAGTGCTGGTGACTCTGGCAGCAAAGCCCACATCCCTGCTCCTCCCTGACATCCCCAGAGCTCCTCCCCAGCCTCGGGGAGCTGCAGCCCCCACAGCAGGCTGGGCTCAGCCACAGGCAGGCAGAGCTGCCCCTCTGAGGGGTCACTGACCCAGGACACTGTCTAACACCCACCTCTGCACCTGAAGCTCCTGCCACTGTCACCCGTGTCCTCTCCTTGCAGGAAGGGCAGCACATGGCATTGCCAGCCCAGGGGAGTCAGGAAGAGAGACCCCCATGCTGCTTCCCCACGCAGCCTGTGGGGCAGGGCAGGGCTGGGCAGCAGCAGAACCCCCTCGCTCTGGGCTTTGGAGCAGGATGAGATTGTCCCTCAGCCCGGTTTTATCTCCTCGTGGCCAAGCCTCACTGTGTGGCTCCACTGAGGGAACTGCAGGATGCTGAACCCAGGATATCTGAGGGCACATCTCCTCCTGGAAGCTGCAGTGCTTCCTGCTTTTGGGAAGATGAGCTGTGGAACTGTGAAATGCCTCTGTGTCTCACAAAGAAAAAGGCGCTGGTTGTCCCCAGAGTGCCCACATTGATGCATCACACAGTTGGTCCTTTTATTTATTTAAAAATGTCCCTAGAGACGGGGCTGACAATCAGAGGTGGCATTGCCACCCTCATCGTCACGGTGCTCACAGTGCTGGTGGCAGACACACCTCAGCTTCAGAGCTGGGCAGTGTTTTGCAGGAGAGATGCCCACAGTTACCGAGGAACATTCATTTTTAACAACACAGGGATGATCCGCAGAAAGGGTTCTTTGTCTCCATGATAACCCGGCAGGCTCCTGCTCCCTCACACACGGGCTGATCCCTGGATCCACACGCTGTTCCTTACACCAAAGCTGATCCCATCCCATTCCATCCCATCCCACCCTGCCATGGCAGGGACACCTTCACTGTCCCACGCTGCTCCCAGCCCCGTCCAGCCTGGCCTGGGACATTCCAGGGATGGGGCATCCATCTTACACTGCACTGCTATTTCCGTTTCTCTTACTTTATTAATCTCAACCTCAACCATCACCTAAAAATCCAAATATACGTCGAAAAATCCTCCTAAACAGCCCGAGTCATCCTTACCCACCTAAACCCCGGTGCTCTGCGGCAGATGTGGATTCCAGCTGTGCTGGCATCCACCGCTGCCTCCATGAATCCTCCTGCACTGGGCTCCCTTCCGGGCGACAACAAACAAATAAAAAAAAATAACAACCATTTTCCAAACGCACCAAAACAAAACCCCCGACACACCGGAGGGCTCGCAGCCGTTTTAACACCGAGGAACATCCGCGCAGGAAAATGAAGGATAGAACGGGGTGGGGAGGGCCCGCGTGCTGCCGGGAGCGGAGAGGAAGGCCGGGAAGGGACAAAGCTGCGGGAATTCGCTTTCCCACCTATTCCCAGCGGGTCGGGGCTGAGCGGGGAGCGCTGGGGCCAAACCCCCCCGAGCCGCGGGGCCAGAGCCGGGCCAGAGCGGGGCCAGAGCGGGGCCCCGCACCGGGCACGGCCCCGGGCCCTGCCGCACTCACCCTCCTGGAACTTGGGCTTGGGGTCCTGCTTGGGCGCCATTTATAAGGGCCGGTCCCTCCTCCGGCCGCTCCCGCGGGCCCCGGCGCCGCCCGGCCCGGCCCCGCCGCCGGCCCGGCCCCGCCGCGCAGCCGCGGCCCGGGCATGCCGGGACATGCAGTCCCGCCCGCCCGCTCCGCCCCGCCAGCCGGACCGCTGCCCAGAGCGCGGCTGCCCGCGCCGTGAGCAGCCGGATCGGGCCGGGGGGCGAAAAAATTAATGAAAACCGAGAAAAAACGGGAAAAACGCAATGCGCCCAACGTGGGGCTCGAACCCACGACCCTGGGATTAAGAGTCCCATGCTCTACCGACTGAGCTAGCCGGGCGCTACGCACACCCAGCGGCGGCAGCGGGTGTCGGCACCCGCAGTAAGGGCGTTCCCCGCTCCGGCCGCCAGAGGGCGCGCCCCCGGCTGATTGGCGGAGTTAGCATTATCGCCTAATTGGCGTAGTTAACATTATCGCCTAATTAAACTTTGTCCCAAACGTAATCCATCAGCGGAGGTGCGGCCGTCCCGGGGAAGCTGTGGGATGCCAGAGCCGCGAGCAGCCCCCGAGGGGGTAATTAACAGAGAGGAGTAATCCCACGTGTTTGCTCCCGGTGTGCTTCAACACGAGAGAAAATAAAAGGAGGCAGCGACAGGCAGCCCCGGCAGAGGAAAGGGAGTACATGGCGGCATCAGCCAAAGACCGTTTTTTATTTCTGACCGAAAATTCGCTGAATTTTTGTGATTTTTTTAATCGCGGTCCTCACGGCCAGGCAAAAGATGCAAAGCGGCAAGGGAGCGCCAGGGGGCGCCATGGGCCACGCTGGCAACGCGCAAACAAACCCCGCCCCTAATGTGCATAACCACGCCCCTTAATTGACAAAACCCAACCCCTAATGTACATAACACAGCCCCTAATTTGCATAACCGCGCCCCTTAATTGACTAAGCACCACTTATGTGCATAACCCCGCCCCTTAATGTGCATAACCCCGCCCCTAATGCGAATAACCCGCCCCTAATGTGAATAACCCCGCCCCTAATACACAGAAACCCGCCCCTAATGTACATAACCCCGCCCCTAATGCGCATAAAGCCGCCCCTTAATGTGCATAACCACGCCTCTTAATTGGCAAAACCAGTCCCTAATGTGCATAACCCCGCCTTTTAATTGGTATAACCCCGCCCCGAATGTACATAGCCCCGCCCATCCGGCGTGCATTGATGCCTTGAGAGGCTGCCTGGAACAAAACCGGGCAGAGTTAAAGGAATAAAGCAGGGATTTATTAAATCCCTTCACAGGGTACACCTTGGGCAGTACAAGAGCCTGAGCGTGGCTACACCCAAGTTGGATTCCAGGTCATGATTTTTCACACTTTTATAAGTTTTGGTCCATTTCCATATTGGGTTAATTGTCCAATTGCAGCTCCAGGTTGTGCGGTCCCATCCTGCCGGGTTGCTCTCCTCAATTTATTGTTTGCACTTTTTGGTGCTGAAGCTGCAGCGGTGTCCTTGGCTCTGGGCTGGAAAAGGATTGCTCTGTGTGACTGAGCTGTGAGGGAGCTGCTGACACTCTGTAGGAAGCTCCAAGCTACAGACTAAAGCAGTGCAGAATGCGGAAAATGGGAAAGCTGAAACTTAAGGCATCAATAGAACCCCGCCTTCTGATGTACATAACCCCGCCCAATATGAATAACACCAAACACGAATATCCCCGCCCCTGCCGTGCATATCCCCGCCCCGCGGAGCCCCCAGCCCGCCGCAGCCATGGCGGCCCCGGCCGCGCTGCGCCCGCTCCTGCCCCTCGTCCCCGTGGCCGCCGCGCTGGCGCTGGCCGCGGGCGGGGGCACCGCGGGGACAGGTCCGGGGCACGGCTCGGCGGGACCGCGGGAGGGGCGCGGGGGTCCGCGGGGACGGGGGCGGGATGGCCGCGGAGCGCCGGGGGTCCGCGGGATTGTCCGCGGGAACGAGCGCCGGGGGTCCTCGGGGATGAGCGGGGGGAGCCGCGGGATTGTCCGCGGGGATGAGCGCTGGGTGTCCGCGGGATTGTCCGCGGGGATGAGCGGGGGGAGCCGCGGGATTGTCCGCGGGAACGAGCGCCGGGGGTGCGCGGGGATGAGCGGGGGGAGCCGCGGGATTGTCCCCGGGGATGAGCGCTGGGTGTCCGCGGGATTGTCCGCGGGGACGAGCGGGTGGAGCCCCCGGTGTCCGCGGGGATGAGCGCTGGGTGTCCGCGGGATTGTCCGCGGGGATGAGCGGGTGGAGCCGCGGGATTGTCCGCGGGGATGAGCGGGTGGAGCCGCGAGTGTCCGTGGGATTGTAACCGCGGGATTGTCCGCGGCAATGAGCGCCGGGTGTCTGCGGGATGCTCGCGGGGCGCTCGGCGGCGTCGAGCCGGACAGCCCGGTGCCCGGAGCCGGCAGCCGCGGTGCCCGGAGCCGGACAGCCCGGTGCCCTCCCGGGAGCCCCGGAGCCCTCCCGGCTGCCCCGGTGCCCTCCCGGGAGCCCCGGTGCCCTCCCGGCTGTCCGCGCTGAGCCCGCCCGGGGCGGCTCCGGAGCACTCAGTCTCCGCGGGCGCTTTGCTCCTAGAGACGGCGTGTCCCAACACCGCCTCAAAGCGTGGATTCCATTTTTCGGGAGATTTTCGTTGTTTGTTCGGTGCTTTTTTCTCCTTGCAGCTGGAGTTTAACAGCGGGAGTTAATAGGGGCAAGCCGGGGCCGGGCTCCGGAGCTGCCTGACTCCCCCTCGCCCAGCCGGCCCTAACCCGGACCTTAATGCTGTCCCCGGCAAAGCCCAGCGCTGGCCCCGGGGGCAGCAGGGGCAGGCGAAGTGCCTGCTGTCCCTGCAGTCCCTGATGTCCCTGCTCTCCCTAATGTCCCTGCTGTGATGTCCCTGCTCTCCTTGATGTCCCTGCTGTGATGTCCCTGCTCTCCCTGCTGTCCCTGCTCCGTGCCGTCCCAGCGGGCACATCCAGCTGGTGTCCCGGTCCCTGCCGCCGCCAGCGGGGGAAGGGGTGTGGGAGGAAAGGTGAAGAACCCTGCGGGTAACCCCGGCACCCCCTCTCCCCAGAGCCGCGCTCCGGCAGCGACATCGTCCATCCCATCAAGGTGGACGAGCGCGGATCCTTCCTGTCCTACGACTTGTCGCACCGGGCCCTTCAGCGGAGGTCTCCGGCCTCCAGGAGCAAGCTTCCCGCCTTCTACGAGCTGCAGTACAGAGGGCAGCCCCTGAAATTCAACCTGAGCCTCAACAGGCACCTCCTGGCCCCGGGCTTTGTCAGCGAGCGGCGTTTCGGGGGCATTGCCGGTGCCAAGATCCAGCCGCGCTCCTCCGACTCGTGCCACATGATCGGCGAGGTGCGGGGCCGGGCGCTGCAGGGCGGGCTGGCTGCCCTCAGCACCTGCGATGGCCTGGTGAGTACAGCCCCTCCCCACGGAGCCCTAGCCCCTCGGGGAACCCTTTGTCCCGCCAGGAGTGACACCAAAATTCCCCGCAGCAGAGCCAGCATCTCCTCGTGCAGGTCCGGTGCGGCCATGGACGAGCTGACTGTAAATTTCCCATGGATTGCAGTGGTTTGGGAGCTCTCCAGGGCTGGGTTTACTTGTTTGTGTCCGAATTCCTAAAAAGAGCAATTCTCTGCCTGCTGCTACGTGATGGGATTGTGAGCGAGGGGCTGGGAGCTGGAGGTGCTGTGACAGCACAGCTCGTGGGCAGCAGTGAAGCTGCTTGCTGTTTCCTCGGCTCCACCATCGGTATTTCCTGAGGCAGCAGTGACCTGGAGAGTGGCATTTTGGGGGAAAGGGCTTAGAACCTCCTGTGGGTTTGCAGAAATGGCCCCACGTACCTGGTGCTGCAGTGCTCATGCTCGTGTCCCGCACTTTGGAGGGAGCACAACTCCATGGGATCCTCCATGGCTTCCCACTGCCAGAGGGCAGGAGGAAATGGGATATTCTGGACAATCCTTCCCTGTGAGGGTGGGGAGGGCCTGGGCTGGAATTCCCAGAGCAGCTGGGACTGCCCCTGGATCCCTGGCAGTTCCCAAGGCCAGGTTGGAACCGAGGACAGTGGGAGGTGTCCCTGCCATGGCAGGGGTGGCACTGGCTGGGCTTTAAGGCCCCTCTCCACCCCAACCATTGCACTGTGATCGCTCCCAGTGCCGGGTTCCTGGGGCTGAGCTGGGCTGCAGGTGGCCTCACGGGGCCCTTTGTGTCTCCCTGGCAGAAGGGCGTGTTCCAGCTCATGAACGAGGACTATTTCATCGAGCCCGTGTCCAGCAGCCCCCGCGAGGAGGGAGCAGCGCAGCCCCACAGGATCTACAAGCGCCAGGTGCCCAAGGCCAGGGCTGAGCAGGGCAGGAGAGCCCCGGCCCCGCGGGCGTCCTGCGGCGTGCCAGGTACTGTCCCTTGCTCTGTGTCACCCACGGGTGCTGCCCTCGGGCCTCTGGGCTCAGCTCCTGCTCCCAGCCCTGCTGCAGGCAGGGGGCTGATGTGGAGACTGAGCTTTTGCTTTCATTTCCACAAAAACTTTGGTTTTGAGCTGCCAGGGTTGGACTTTGGGAGTGGAACTCGGTGGCTGGCCCGGGAGTTCCCAGTGTGGGCAGAGTGCGTGTGGGTCCTTCCCTGTGCAGAGCAGATGGGTTGGATAAACTCCCAAACCCAGCATTTCCAGTGCTGAGGAATTCAGTGCATTCCCAGAAGCTGATGGGCACTTTGCTCCCTGATGAAGCTGCAGTGCATTATGTGCTGCATGTTTTCTGGAGCTCTCTGCTTTCACAGACTGGGGTTTGCTTCTGTAACAGGGTTATCTTCAGGCATTCTTCTGATAATCTAAATTAATTATTTAATCTGTGGTAATAATCTTAATGACTTCTTCTAGTCTTTGAAGTCTTGTTCTTGACTCGAGTCCATTCTGGACTTTGAAGTCTATTCTTGAAAATTAATTTCTCTGGGTATACCATGGCCTGTGTGTAATTCATGTGGATCTCCTCTGTAATCAGGGCTACAATGCTGTGCAAGCCCTGGAGGGGAATCCCAAAGGAGTCCCCAAGTCTGCAGGATTTCAGTGACTGCCTGCTCTCGCTGAGCTCTGCTGTTTGCTGTGCCCACGACAGGCAGGTGCTGCTGGTGTTGTTTAGCTCCTGTCCATGCCCAGGGCTGCCCGTGTGCACAGCTGGGTGGTGTTGGGCAGGGATCATCCGAGGGGAGACGTTCCAGGAGCCCCCCAGCTCTGCAGCAGCCTCACGTCCCGGCTGGGAGCTCAGCCAAGGCACAACGAGCTCCAGGGATGGAACTGCCTCAGTGGTATTAGCAATTCATCGGGAGGAGCTGGGATCCCTCGGGCTGGGGGCGAAACGCCCTTTCACAGCACAGCGCAGGAAATGTAGGAGCTCATTGTTAGGGAAGCGAGGCTGAGCCCCCCGAAGCCATGAAAGCGATTCCCACTGTGTGGGATGAGGTTTGTAAAGCCTTCACCCAGCTCGGGGCTGACCCTGACCTTGGCAGGAGCCCTGTGGCAGGAAAAGTCCCCGCTGCAGAATTCCCAGTGGCTGCTGTGCGTGAGGAGCGCTGAGCTCTCCCCCGCCTCCGCACTCCCAGCCAGCACTGCCGTTGTTTCCCTTGGGAAGGAGCAGAGTCCTCTCCTCTCCTCTCCTCTCCTCTCCTCTCCTCTCCTCTCCTCTCCTCTCCTCTCCTCCCCAGCTTTGGGGGCACAGAGTTCGTGGTGATGGGAATGGTCCCTTCCTGAAAAACACAGATTTGGGATGACCCCAAATCTTGAGCCACCGGGGTTGTTTCTCAAGCATCTCTGCAGTGTTGTCTACGAATTCCTGTGTCAGTACAAACACGAAGACTCGGCTTTGGGAGGCTCCCTGTTCCTTGAGGAATATTGCAAACCTTGTTCTGGTCAAAGAAATTCCTTCAAATGCTCTGTTTATTTATTTATTTATTTATTGTGCCCTGCTCACGTGCAGCAGGCTGAGCTCAGAGTCCTTTGGAACAGAGCACAGCAAAACAGAGCACATGGAGTTATTGAGTTGTGGCTCTAAGCAGGAGCCTTCTCCACATCAAAGGTGATTCCTTTGAATTAAAAAAGAAGATATTCAACTTGCAGGCATTTGATCAAGGAAAAAAACTCCTTTTTTCCCCCTGAAACCCCTCAGAGTCTCAGGAAAGCCTGGAGCGGTCTGAGAGGCGCAGGGAGCGGTGGGAGCAGAAGCAGGGCAGGAGGAGGAGGAGGATCAGGCAGCGCTCCATCAGCAGGGAGAAGTGGGTGGAGACGCTGGTGGTGGCAGACACCAAGATGGTGGAGTTCCACGGCAGTGCCAACATCGAGAAGTACGTGCTGACCGTCATGAACATGGTGAGTGCTGGGCCCTGCAGGGCTGG